TGATGGTTCCTCAATCTTCCTGTCTTATTTGACCTTGACACTCTTGAAGGGTACTAGTCAGTTATTTTAAAGAGTGCTCTTCCTTTATGTTTTTAATCTCATGATTAGACTTAAGTCAGAGATTTTTGGGAAGAATACCACAGAGGTAATAATGTGCTCCACTTGTTGCTTCCTATGGGGAATATATGATATCAGCATGACTTATTAGAGATGAGATTAACCTGGAAAACTGAAGGCTTCTTGCTCCCTTCTCTGTACTTGGAATGTGTACTGCCCACATTCCTGCCCACTCCCAGAAGCTGCCCAAGGACAATTCTTGAGATACAGTGTGTTGTTGAGATCATCTGGACTGTGCACAGGACTAAACCCAGCTAAAGTCTCTACATAAACTTTAAAGATTTGGGGGATGGGTGTAGAAAACTCTCTTATTTTGCAGCTGCCCAAGATTAAGTCTTGTAAGCTCCCTTGGTTCTTAAAACTGCCACCTACCAAAATGGACTGCTCTGCCTTTTTCCTTGGTCTTTCCTTGCCCTCCATTTACAGGGGCAGGTTTCAGATTACACCTGGAAAGTTCCTGAGGTTGTGACCCAACAAACTGTCTGTTTTGTAAAAAAACATGTTATATGCTTGCTCTACATGCAGGCATGATAAAGTAAAGACAAGGTGTTAGGGGGAAAGGGGCTGCCCTGTAACAAAGGTTCATGAGATGAACAACAGGAACTGGATAAAGACTACCAAGATTTAAATCTAGTCTGCAAATGTTTACATTAGAAAATATCAGACCTAATTCCTCATTAGTATGTTAGCAGTTTATTTTGCAATCTATACATACAAGTACTGTATATATATCATTGTACTTAATAAGCACATAAGTCACCAAATAATGTAAAACCAGTGACGAATATAACTAAAGACTTACTCAAAATTAGACAGAAAGAACATAAAAATATAAATAAATACCTATAATAAAATGTGTACTCTCCATACTAAAGGTTTATTTATTTTTTAAATTATTTTTTTAAAACTTTTTTTTTAAAGATTTATTTATTTATTTATTTATTTATTTATTTATACAAGCACTGGGTACAGTCAGAAGCGCGGGAGGGTGAGAGAATTCACCAGAGCCAGAGTGGGGAGCAGAGCAGGCAGAAGGACCGAAGTACACTGCTGAGGGGAGCAGCGGGCGGCAGGAGAGGTCTGCGCGCCATGTGGGACCCTCCTCTGGTGGCAGGGGAGCAGCCGGGGATCGAACCGGCGCTGCAGAGGCAGCGGGCAGCTTCGCAACCCCGCGCTCAATCGCTGCGCCACTGGGGAGGCCCCATACTAAAGGTTTAAACAAAAGACTGTTAGGTCTCAGATAAGAGAATCGAAATTAAATATATGGGATAAAACTGGAAACACCACTAATGATGTCCTATAGTAAGAAACACCTTGAGTAAAGCTAGTCCTTATTATTATTCCACTATTTGGTGGAAATGGATACAATGACAAACTTTCAGTTCATTTTTTTTTTAATTTTTTAAAAAAGATTTATTTATTTATACAAGAACCGGGGGACAGGTCAGATGTGCGGGAGGGTGAGAGGATTCACCAGAGACAGAGCGGGGAACAGAACAGGCAGACTGAAGAAATACACTGCTGAGGGGAGCAGCGGGTGAGACAGGAGAGGTCTGCCGTGCCATGTGGGATTCTCGCCAGCCGGCGGGGATTGAACCCGCGCTGCAGAAGCTGCGGACAGCTTCACAGTGCGGTGCTCAACTGCCTGAGCCACCAGGGAGACCCTCAGTTCATTTTTAAAACCACATAATCTAATGGGATTCAAGTTCACCTTGGGTGGGGAGCCCATGTGGGTAATTATCTGAGTTGCTGCAAAATCACTCACATGAGAAGCTGCAGAGAACCAGAAATAACTGCGCTCAATTAGCTTATCTATCTCCAGACATAGCTCTTAGTCAGTAAGAAGAAATTCTAGACTTGCCTTTGTGGTCAAAGGGAAGAATGTCCTGACTTTCTGATGTAAAAATAAAAAAGTTCCACAGTAAAAGTGAACCACATTTTCAAGGGAAGTGGTTACAGAGAATTCACCTGAAAGATCTCATAGAGTACCTTCAGAGAAAGAGACTGTGGAATGAAGAGAAGAATTTTAGTAATAAGAAGAAAGCAATGTCAAAGTTACAGAAAAGAAAAGATGCATCTGCTATTACTATGTAAACTGAAACACATAAGTTGTTTCTCAAATGGGAGAAAAAAACTAGGTAAGTTTTCAAGCTTCCTTTTCTGGAAAACAACGTATAGCTGAACATAACCAAAAATACAGATTATTTCTTGTAAGCCTCGGACAGATGTCTTTCCCTCTAAATATCACTCAACCCAAAGGAAAGATCTTATTTTCCATATGTTGATTACAAATCCCTGTCTTAGAAAAGGGGTTTTATTGGTAAACATAGCTAAAATAGCAGTCTTCCTCAGGACCCAAGGGAGCCTGTGCTAGGCAACAGCCCATTAACAGAATGGATCTGGGTATTCATAACATCTGGAAGAAAACCAGACAGCTCCAGGGAGGTATTTATAGTCCAGAAGCAAAGAGGAGTAAGGGGTGGGCAGGACAAGGGTGAGTCACACTTTATTCCGTTTTGCTCTTACAGAGCCTTTCCTCTGACTAAGCACAAGTAGCTGACAGCTGACAGGAACTAGGAACTTGGGAGGTGATCATGCTCATCATTATGAATTCTAAAGTGGTAGGCAACAGATAAGGTGGGAATAAGAACGTGACAGAGTATTGGTGCTCCAGGATGCTTGCAGAACAGCAGGCCAGGGAAATCAGAAAAATGTTTGGGAAAACATTTTGGGAATCAGAAAATGTTTGGGAAAACTTTCTCTTGAGTTCTTCCCTACTGTTTCAGTGGAATCTCTACCAATTTTAATAAAAATATCTTAGCTTTTAAAAGGAAAACATCATTGTTCATTTTTGTACACTGTATACTTTCTCCTCTCAGGCTTAAGTCCCTGTAAAATTCCCACCACCAATTCACCCGCGAACTATAACCATAGTCCCTTGTGTTATTCCCTCCCATTTTGACCTCTCTACCTCCCCCTCCCTTGCAGAAAGTCTCTGATATAGAGTTGCCTGCTAATTTTTTTTATTATTGTTGTTATTATTTTTTCCCCCTGCTCCCTTATTTGGTTCCCCTATGAATTTAAAAGGATTTATAAGGGAAAGAATAGCATTAATGGATATTAGGAAATCAAATACTCCCATTCATGTAGCAAAACTTTTGTGTTATCAAGGACTTTGCAATCTCTGGCAATCAAGTCAAGGGAGGGGAGAAAGGCAGTGGTAAAGAGGGTTTACACAGTATAAAGGCTAGTCTCCTCCTGAGGCCAATTCCAATATCCTCCTTACATATGCTTGGGAGTCTCACCTCCTTCCTGGCATGGTCCTGGCACCCTCTACTGTGCTGACTTAGAGAACTCAAAGTGTTTTGTCACAACCCTATATAAGCAAGTTCTTAAGTCTTTTCCCCACCTTGAATATCATCCAGAACCCCTCCCCTGTCCTCTGTTCCTGCTGCCTCAGCCCCTCAGGTTTTCCTTCCCTGAATTGAACCGCCACCCTTCTCACTGCGGAAGTCAGGACTACCACAACCTCACAGGGGATGTATAACTTGGTGCCAAGATCACACTCTCTTCGCTCCTGCTACTGGAAACCTTCCTGCTTCTGTTCCACCTCAAATGTCACTTGCCATCTCCATCCTTGACAGGAAAAAGATTCCCACTGCCCAGGGAAGGAGCAAGGAAGAACTGAGAGAAAGAAAAAACCTTTTTCTATTTCTAGGGTTTTTGTTAGAGGGGATATGTACTTCTGGGACACAGCAGGAGGTCAAAATCTCTGTCCCAATAAATAAAAAGTGTCCCCTAATCAAACTCTTAAAGCTGTTTCCAAGAGTTGTACATACATGGTAGGTTTGTATTTAATGCATCATGATGGACTAAACAGCCTCTCTGCAGACTGGCCTGGGAACCTCTCTCTCATGAGGCATTGTTTCTATGGGAAAATGTTGCGTGAATGGCAAACAATTGGCTTACTAATGACCTTTCAAAACAATCTTTCCTTCCTCAGGAATGGTATGTAAAACAGGGAAATTATAAAATGTGCTAGACAAAAGAAGAAATCAGGGAGTAGCTGAGACGTCCTTGGCTATAACATAATTCTGCACAGGCACACTATGAAACAGAAACACATATGTACACAAATATGTAAGGAGTATGTTAGAAAAAGTAAATTATCTAAGTGGTCTTCCCCTCACTCTAGTCTGTTGTTAACAGCATAGGTTTGGCCTCCCTAGACTCCCAAAAGTAGACATTTATTGTGAAAACTGGTTTCAGTAATGATTAAGAGCACAAAGGAAGTGTAGACCACACGGTAAATGTCCAGGATCAAGAAAAACAAGCACTGGAAAAAAAATATAAGGCACACCGAAGAGCTAAATATAGACAGGGTATTTCCCCCAAATAATCAATTTCTTAGGAAATAAATGCATGGAGATCCCACTCACTACCTGAGAGTTGTGGAATAGGTAACAATTCTTCCTTTACAAAATACATCAGTGGTGTTCTCAGAAGAGGGCAAGACACACAGGCAGGAATCAGGAAGGTATGTGTAGGGATAAGCAAGTAGGGACCTGAGTGGAGAAACCAGAAAAGCTGTGGTGAAAGGATTTTGTCTCCTAAACTCAGTTCTGACAGGGCCCAGTCACGAGGCATTGCGGGTTCTGAAATAGGAAGGTAAAATAAACAGCATAAATGATGGAACCTATGAGGGCATTCCATACATAAGCCACTGTACCTGACAGGTACCAAGTGGCTGACACAGTATCAGGCACTTCAATATAATCTTTGATATGGAAACTTAAAGTGAAGAAGGATGCCTTGGAAAAGAAGGGAAGTAGAAGGGATGGGTGGGCAATGCTACCTCTGAGTTTCTGTCCAGGCTGACTCACCTCGTAGAAAAGTCCTTCTGGGAACTGCTGGAAGCACTGCGCACACACAAAGCACTGCTCGTGGTATAGCTCGCCATTGCTGTTGACGATCTTCTCCGCAGGGGCAAAGCCACCCCTGCAACGCTCACAGGTGGCGTTGGCAAGGGCGTTGGCCATGTTGCTGTAAAACACAGAAGACAGGAAATCACAAAATGTCAACCTTTTTTTAGACTTAAGGCCAAACAACAGGGCAAAATGAGGAGCAAATTCTATCTTTTCACAAAAATCCTATTTTATCAGTAAAGTCCAAGTCCTTGTTTGTGTCTTAGATACACTTAAATCAAACTGTTTCTTCTTCTTTGTGCTAGCATCTAAATGTGCTCCTCCTGCTCTGAATCTCTTTTTTCTTTAACATTTCTGACATTCCTCTTGCTAAATATGCTATGAATGAGTGTCTATGACCTATTGAGTACTTGGCCTAGAGATAAAAGTCAAGTGTTGCCACTCAAGGAGCTAGAATTTACAGCTTGATATATAGCTTAATTAAAGACCCATAAGTCAATATCATAAAGCCAATTTCTCTCCCTTCTGAGACCAGAATTTAACTGAATGTCAGCTGAGTATCAAGTGATAGCCTGGACACAGGTCATCCATTTTGAAAGCAACAGTTTATGTAACTCTTAAAACCAACCAAAATGCCTTAATTTTATAATCTCATTGGTAATACAAATCTTAAACACAATATTATAAAATGTATCTTAAAATCATAGAATTTTACATTATAAACATACTTTTACATATGACAAAATGCACGTTCAGAGGGGTAGAGTAGTACAATGTCACAAAACTGATCAGTAGAAGACAGGGGTGAGAAACCAGGTCCCCCACTCAAAAAATCATGACCAGATTAAGATTACAATATGAATTTCAGACACTTGAGGATGACGACATCAACATACTTCTCAGATCAGGAAAGTGAAACCAGGCAGTCAGGTAAACATTGATAAGCCCAGCAACTTGGTACTTCATTAGTAATTTCACCATACCGTAAACCACACGGAGGCATTCAAAGTATTTTTATGATTCTATGTAATTACTGTGTGGTTTAGAAGAAGAAAAGCATATAAAAAGCTTATAATCAAATACTTAGTCACTCTCTAATGAATTGTCCAGACTTCACATAAAGAACTGTTTTGCCTGAAAGGGCTCCAAGTAAAGAAAATCCCCTAACCAGAACAGTCATTGGCTAAGCCTTCCTTTATAATTCTGCAAGTTTATTTTCAGATTCCCAATCAAAGTACAAGCTCTACCTGTGGTCCATACCCCGGTATAACCCAGATTGGAACGACATACCTCATAAGATTACTCCAACGTTCTCTCTCTCTCTTTTTTTAAGATTTAATTAATTAATTAATTAATTTAAGAACCAGGGTATAGACCAGATGTGTGGGAGGGTTAAGAGAAGTCACCAGAGACAGAGTGGGGAACAGAACAGGCAGACTGATGAAATACACTGCTGAGAGGAGCAGCGGGCGAGACAGTAGAGGTCTGCTGTGCCATGTGGGGCTCTCGCCAGCTGGCGGGGATCGAACCAGCGCTGCAGAAGCTGCGGACAGCTTCACAGCGCTGCGCTCAACTGCCTGTGCCACCAGGGGAGACTCCACTCATAGTAACTGCCTCGTCCCACATCAATGTCTAAGTTTTGCTGTTTCCTTAGCAAAAGTGTTCCCGCATATCTTATTTCACTTCAACCTTACCCCAGCCTCCAAAGGAGGACAGCGTTGCCTTCTCCAAAAATGAACAGTGTTTCTGTTTTGTAGCTTTGCCATAACTTACTCTATGTAGAAGTACCATGTTCATAACTCATACTAATCAAAACTTAATTTTACTTAGTAGAATTGAATACATAATTTAAATGTTACCCCCCAAAAAAGGAAAGGAGGCAGCCTCACTGCTGGGTAAACCTGGCCTAAGTCTCATATTAAAACATATTTCTGGCTATTCTCCTTTGAATCTGCCTACACTTATTCGAGTCCATACTATCACACTCGAAGCTTCATTTCCAACTCACCTGAAAGAAAAAATGACCTTATTTTCTACCTTGTCATTTTAAAATAACCTGAGTTAGGGAGAGAAATCCATAAATTTCCCTTCTTTACCTAACTGCAATAACCCAGATAAATTGTGGTAGTTTCAGCTAAATTCTGGAAGGGTTGCTTTCCCTTTTTCCTGACCAAAATCCACAGGTACTCCTGTCGAAGTATGGCATGTCCACATATGCCCAACAATCCTTACCACTGTTTTGAGATGAGAAAAAGTACGTAAAAAGCACTCTGGAAACCAGAAGATGCTACTCAAATATAAAAAATTATTAATTTTAAATACTTTCAAAAGATTCACCAAATCCTCAATAATTTTAACAGAACTCTCCAAGAGCTAGAAAAGCACATTCTGATTCACTACTCCCTAGATCAGTGGTTTTCAAAATGTCACTGTGACTCTTTCAGGAATTTGAAAGATCCTTCTCCCCTTTCTAAGTATATCTCTAGGGGAGGCCATATTTTATTTATATACTTTATCTAAAATAACAGGCTACAAAAGGACGGATGCAGAGGCAGATATGAGAAACTGTCTTTTTATGAAGATAGACATTAACAAAATTTGCAAAAATATAAGTATTTTTACAATATTTATATAGAACTTTAAGAGTAACTGGGACCCATTTGAAACCTATATGTTATAAAACAATGTTACTTAAATAAAAACAATTTTTTTAAGTACTTAGAAAATTATAATTAAACAGTAATCATACTGTTTGGTGAACTTTCAGGATGCTTTTTGGTTGTACACATTTTTGCATTTTAATGCCAGGAAAGTTGTTTCACATACTTTGATAAATGAAGCACTTGAGTAATACCACTCTTCCCAATAAGTTGTTGTTGTTTTAGAAAGTTATTTTTCATGAAAATCAGTATTAATGGCTATTATTAACTTGCAGTAAGCTTATTTATTTTTTAATGACTTAAAAAATGTTGATTTTTTTTTATTTTCTAGCACATGAAATATTGATAAACAAAAGCCCTCTTAGGACCTAAATAATTTTTAAGTATAAAGGGGTACCATGATTAAAACCTTTATCATGGACCTGTTTACACAGGTTTCCCCTGCTATCAAAAAGTAGAATGAACATTCTGTTTGGTATGAGTTGGAGGGTTTTTTTGGGGGGTTGGGGGTTGGGGGTGGTGTCTGAGAATGCTATTCCCATTAATTTACTATATGGACAAAATTTTGCACTTTCCCAAACCTCCAAAATAAACTAATGAATCATACCAAGTAGGGACTTTCTACTTTCAGGGAGTAGAGAATATGTACTCATTATGATATTGATTGTTTTTATTCAAGTCCAAACACTAAAGTAGTTAGAACTAGGAAATAGGAAAACATTATAGCAAGCATATAGTTTTTCTCACACACAGGAAAAATAAACTAGTTTTAGATATAATGTAACATGTACTTTTGAAGAGGTTATTTTTTTAAAATAATGAGCAGGAAAAGAAACAGAACATTAGAAAAATTTTCAGAAAATAAATACCAATAATCTCACCAACCTACTGAACTGTTCACATTTCCCCCTCCTGTCTTATCTTTGACCATCTGGCCCTATACATTTTTTTTAAAGGACTTTTAAAAGAGTAGTTTTAGGTTCACTGCAAAACTGAGCAGAGGTACAGAGTTCCCATGCAGCTCTGCTCCTGCACATGCACAGCCTTCCCCATTACTAACATCTCCTACCAGAGTGGTACATTTGTTACAAATGATAAACCTATATTGATCTATGCCTTGTTTAATTTTATAGTTGATTTTTATATATAAGAGCATATGACAGAAGTTACTTTTTAAAAGTATGAATGATAGTTATAGCTGTCATTTGTTATTTATAATTAATTGGTTAATTTTTCATAAAAGTTTTTCTGAAAAACTAAAACAGAAATGCTGAGGATAAGAAATATATACTTTAGGGAATATATATGTAAAAAACCTTTAGTACATAATCTTCATCACTGGCCAGTCGTGATTTAACTGATCTACTTCCACAAATCAACCTCATATAGAAAACTTACTATCATAGAGCTTTCTGTTACTCAAGTGCCTCATTTATCAAAGTATGTGAAACAACTTTCCTGGCATTAAAATGCAAAAATGTGTACAACCAAAAGGTATCCTGAAAGTTCACCAAACATTTTGGTTAATGTACAATTATAATTTTCCAATTACTTAAAAAAATTGTTTTTATTTAAGTAATGTTGGTTTATAACATAAAGGTTTCAGATGGGTCCCAATTACTATTAAACAGTTCTTTATAAATTGTAAAAATAAATAATAGTTGTGCTACCACAAAGCACAGTTTAGTGGAAATAGAGAATCAGGTTAAGTTTTCTTTAACTCTTAATTGACAAATTGGGGATATGCAAGAACTCTAAGCTTTCAAATTGAATGAGTTCAAGTTGGCCTCAACACTACACACTGCACTATTTATATAAAGATTTGCTAAATCCCACTTAATAATATAAGTTGAACTAACTTTTAAACTTAATGCAAGATATATATATGTATGTATATATTTATGTATATCTTTATAAGCAGTTTATAAATCAATTTTTCATTGTTTCCCTCAGCCTGCACTTTATTGTTGTGGAGAGTTTTAGAAAAGAAAAATTTCTACTGTAAACACAGACAAGGAAAACCCCAAGCTTCCCTTTTGGACTGCATAATGAAAATATACTATCATCAGGAATCTACTGAAGACAACGACATTGCTACTCTTTAAAGGTAGCACTTTCCTCCAGATCTGCATTTCATCCAGTGGAAGTTTTAAGTGACCAAGAAGCCGATCTGTCTGCTGGAATATGCGGCACTGTGAGCAGTCCTCTAAGCACCCGTCACCCAGGAAAGCTGTTACTGAAAGTTGAGGATATGAACTCGCAGTTGGTTAGTGCACAGAAACCCAACGAGGCTACATCTGGAAAACGGGGATTCCAAGAGAGGAGACACTTACAATTTCGCATAAAAGTCACAAAACTCCTTGTAGACTTTTACATCACTATGCCTGCGCTGCAGTTTGGACTCAGCCCTCTCATCTTCATTGCCATTAACCTGGTAGGTACTGTTAAGGGCTGTCTGGGGCATTTCTTCATTCTCAGGGATAACACAAGGGCGCATCCTCCCTGGGAACGCCATCTTCGGGAGCTCATGAGCTCTGAGCCCAGGCGGATAGCAGTGGGACAGGAGAAGGGAGAAACAATATCCACTCCTCCCCCACTTCCCTGCCAGGGACACTCCCACTGTTCCCACACGCTTCAGCGCCAGGCCAGCAGGGTAGCTCCTGACCCTTCATGTTAAGAGCTCAGACGTCAAAGCAGTCAGTATGACAATCCTGATTTACTGAGGCAATTAGAAAACCTTTCACAGAAGCAGTGACACAGTCCTTGCAGGAGCAGGCTTCCTGGTATACTGTGTCTGAAAAAACTGGTACAGGAATAGAGAACTACTTGGTAGACCTCCAAGAGAAAGAAATTTCCATGTGCTCTGGTAATCTGTCACCAGGCTTTCTATATACACTAGCGCTGTGCTTCTTGACCTTGGTGGGTGTGTAAGTGTCTCCTGGACATCCTGTCAAACACCATGAGAAATTCTGTTTCGAACAAGCTCTTTGGTAAGAATAATGCAGCTGGAATGCACTCTGAGCGGCATCATAATGCCCAGGCAGCTCATTCCATGGCTGCCTTCCCCAGGAATCTGGGAACCCCTGAAAGTAAGAGCAATGTTAGGCTTTTATTTACTTAAGCACTTCGTACACAGTAAGTCTTCAATAATGTTGATCCTACTACTTGGCTCACAGTCCAATGAATGTAGCAAAAGGAAATAGGAAAGAGCTGGGGTTTGGTCAGAATCCTTTCTGTTTGAACCCCAGCTAACCCTGTAACTTTGGTGAGCCATTGTTTTCTTGGTCTTTATCATGATTAAGGATGCCACTGATAGTCTTGGTATATTCATTCCATATTAGTATTAGCAATGAAGATAATGTAGTACAATGGACAACAAAAGGGTTTAGAATCTTCCTCAAGATCCAGTCCTCTCAGTACCAGTATGCCATGCCATGAAAAACAAGGTCCCAGAAAAGAAAATTGAGACAACAGTCAAAGTTACATTGCTCTGACCACCAAAGCAGATTACATCAGAGATAGACATGCCATGAAATCAACAGCAAGTGGGCAAAATGCAGCTGAGACTCCTGAGTGAATAACTACAAACAATGGTAGCTAGGCATTGATAAGTGCTTACTGCCTTGTCTCTGTGAGGTGGCATGATTTACAGAGGAGGACACTGAGGTTGAATAACTAGAAAGCAGGTGGCGGTGTTAAAATTCAAACCTAGATAGTATGCTATCACAGCCTATGCTGTTAACCACTCTGTGAGAAAATGGTTAAACAGAATATGGGACTAGAAGCAGAAAATATTAATACGGGAGCCCAAAAGATGTTGGAGTACTGGTCAGGAACTGATCATGGAACAACAGACTCGACATTTTTAACAGGAAAGAAGCCACCTCAAGTTTTAAATTTTTTGTTTCTACAAAGACCATGTGGAATAGAGGCAGGTTTGCGGTGGGAAGAAAGGGAAGAACAGATTCTGACACCAGAAACAGGGTGAATTAAGGGCAGCATGTAGACTACTACTCATGATAACAAAGATAAATTCATGCCATTTGCTACAACACTGATAGAGCTGGAAGGGATTATGCTAAGTGAAATAAGTCAGAAGGCGAAAGACAAACATCCAAGTTTCTCTCACATGTGTAATATAGAGAAACCAAACAAATGGGTAGGAAAAAGACAAAATTTGCAAGCTGAATGAAGAGCTGAGGAATACAGCAGGGGAGGGACAGGGAAAGAGGTCAAAACGGGAGAAATGAGCATAAGGGATGGGGGAGATGGATCCCGGGTGCTGTGGTGGTGGGAGAGCTACGGGGACTACACCTGAGTGGAGAAATCAAATACTGACCAAATATTAACAATGATGTAAGGAAATAAATTTGAAAAACCCAATAAAATTAATTTTTATGTTCATCATCTTAAAATTTATCTATGTAAGTATAATGGAACCAAGTCCATGTGCACAGGGCCTTGCCCTCCCTAAGAAGAAGATTCTAGACAATGACTTGTTGGTAAAGAAGGGGTCCCAAGCACCATTATGTGTTCTCATTAATAATCTGGTTCCAACTTGCCAGTCTACAATTAACTTTCACATAGAATTAATTGATCCTGCATAAAAATAGGCTATATTTACCTTCTTAAGGGAAGTTATGTGATTTGCTCAAAGTCACACAGCTAATAAGTGGAAGATCCTAAATTCAAACTCAGACATCTGACTTCAGTGTTTTTGTTTGTTTTACCTCTTTATAAAATTCAGTCTGTATTAGCGCTTCCAATAACTTGTCCATACATCTATGATTTGATTGCAAATCATGTTCATTCTCCTGCCAGAAATATCATCGGATCCAAAATAGTCTCCTCACATTGAGATAATGCTACTTGGAGACTCAAACCTTTAGGGTAGAACACTGGTTCTGTGTGGGCACTGGGAAACTTCCCCTTCCCTTCAGTGTCAAGAGCATCCAGGAGTCACAAAAAGTAAGCAAGCAGACAAATCCTCTACCTTCATTCAGTCTCCTTTCACAAGGCAGGAACTGTCTTGTTCATGACTATACACCAGAACCATGAATAGAACCCACCACTTAATAAGTGTGCAGTAGTTATTTGTTGAAAGAATGAACTAGGGTTAATGAGCCATCTGCTTGATTCAGAGAACCATGAAAATAACGAAAGCAAATTAGCCACCAGTCTGCCAAGTACTTTGATTGAGTCAACAGATCTAAAAATAAAATTTCTTATCTTCTTTACTTCATAACAACTACTCTTATTTCTGTTAAGACTGAAGAAAAAGTTTATGGATCATGAACATATGTCACAATGAAATCTGTTATCTGTCAAAGAAGAACAATGTGAAAGATGTACAATCAAATCTTAAAATTTTTATTTTGAAGTACAGTCACAGGAAGTAATAAGGATTGTACAGAGAAGTCTTTTGTACCCTTTACACAGTTTCCTCTAGGATTACATCATGTGTAATTAAAACCCAGTATCAAGTCCAAGAATCTGACATTGGTACACTGTGTGTGTATAGATCTGTGTCATTTTGTCACTTACCAATACCATAATCAAGATACAGAATTACTCCATCACCACAACAATTTCCCTGTGTTATCTCTATGAGTCACACCCAATCTCTCCCAGTCTGCCATTCCTAACGTATGGCAACTAGTAATCTCTTTTTCATCGATAGAACTGCCATTTAGAGAATGGCACTGAATCTTTGTGTCCCTCCTAAATTCCCAGGGTGCAACCCTAACCCCCAATGTAACTGGAATTTGTTTGGTCTTCTGAAGAGTTGGATTACAGTTAGACTAGGTCACAAGAATGGGCCCTAGAAAGAGGGACCACACTCTGTGTCAGCCATGCAAGGACATGGCCAAAAGATGATGCTCATGAGTCAGGAAGTAGACCTAAGACACCACATCTCTGGCACTCTGATTTTCGATTTCCCCACCTTCTTGGGAAATGATTACATATTTGCTGTTTAAGTCACAGAATCTATAGCATTATTGTTACAGCAGCCCAAACTAACAGTTGCATACATAGACACTTATAAGTGTGTGGCCTTCTAAGTCTAGCATTTCTTTTTTTCTTTTTTTTTAAAAGATTTATTTATTTATTTATACAAGCACTGGGTACAGTCAGAAGCGCGGGAGGGTAAGAGAATTCACCAGAGCCAGAGCGGGGAGCAGAGCAGGCAGAAAGACGGAAGTGCACTGCTGAGGGGAGCAGCGGGCGGCAGGAGAGGTCTGCGCGCCATGTGGGACCCTCCTCCGGTGGCTGGGGAGCAGCTGGGGATCGAACCGGAGCTACAGAGGCTGTGGGCAGCTTCGCAAGCCAGCGCTCAACCGCTGCGCCACTGGCTTTTCTTTACCAGGCAAAGCGCCCTGGAGATCCAGCCATGTTGTTAGGTATGTATACATAACCTCCACAGATTGTTTCTTTTATTTCTGAGTAGTATTCCATGGTATGGGTTTTGTTGTGCATAAAACTGTGTATAAGTTTCTGGGTAAATATAAATTTTCACTTTTCTGGGATAAATGTCCAAGGGTAGAACTGCTAAGTTGCATGTTTAATTTCTCTAAGAAACCATAAAATTGTTTTCAAGAGTGGTTTTACCACTTATGTTGTCACCAGCAATATTTGAGAGATTACATTTCTCTACAGCCTCACTGGCGTTTGTGTTACCATTATTTGTTATTTTTTGGTGTTCTAACGTGTCACAATTTTCATAACATATATGCATTACATTTACATTTATGCAAATAAGTATAAAAATGAAGTCATAAATTTCACTCCAGCAGTATTAATAAGGAGGGAAATAGAATAATGCTTATATTTTGGAAGAAGTCAAACACCACAGAACAGGTATAAAATGAAAAGTAAAGTCTCTTAATGGTGCGTGTGTACTCCTAACTGTCCTTTTTGACAAAACTAAAGAGCTTACTGAAAGAATGATTTGTTTCTTGGTCACCAACAAGATATTATGTTGTCATTAAAGCAAAGATTTTCAGTCTGTATTTTGTTTTCTGCAGGGCCCTGAGTTCACTCAGGTGCCAAGTTCTGACAGCTGAGAGCCACCAGAGGGCTGTGTATAAACACAAAGTACATCTAGCCCTCCTTCCCTATTAGCCACTAAAATGCTCCATGCCTTCAACTAAGTTGATTCCATGGTATCCTTCTGCTAAACCAACAGAGCTGAAAATTTAGTAAAAATTATCTTATCCCACCTATGGTAAGAGGGGGAAGACATGAAACTGTTTCCCACACCCACCCTGCTCCACCCATTTCCCTCTACTTCCACCTAGAACACTATTTATGAGGAAGTCACGTTGATGTGATTCAGTAATATGCTCAAGAACAGCATGTATTATGGAGGCTTTTTTAAACTGTTTGATCAATCAGTGTAATAGGATCCATACAGATGTTAAAACAGATTTGTGGCTGTCTCTTTGTTTACAATTGTGCCAAACACATTCTTTCTTCCTTTCCTTTCTTTTTATCACCTAAGACTATCCTAACTAGGGCCTGGAAGGGAGAAAGGAAGCTGGGTTCTAAAGGGAGAAAAAATGGGGCATGAAAGAGCCAGATCACCTCCTACCACACAACTCCTTCCTGTTAGCTTTTCCCTATGAGCAAAGGGACCTGACTAGTTGATTCTCACAGTGGAATTCTCATGGCAGAGAATTTTTTTGCACCTTATCCAAGTTATATATGCTGAAACAAGGTAGTTATTATAGTAAGGGTTCAAAGGCAAAGGCCTGGACGTTGCCCACCACGGCAGCCGTGTTGATTAAGTAGACAGTTATTTTAGGGGTCTGTGGCAATACAATGGGCTGCCCTTTCTTTAGCAGCTTTTCCATTAAGTTTTATTGTTGCTTTAAAAAGTATTGTTCACATTATTCCACCGTTTGCTTATATTACTTTACAACATATCTGAACATAAGGAACTTTTATTATGTGCAGCAGA